CGCAGGAGGCCATGCTAAGTAGGTTGTGTGGGGCCCCATGATTTCTAACAGCATCCATGCCACCAGCTATTTTTTTATTGAAAGCTGCATAGGTAAAAAAAAAAAAGAAATACAATTTTTTAAAACTCATTACATTGTTGAAGCTTATGTGGGATCTTTTTTATCAGGTTCAGACCTACGTTAATCAACTTTACATGCTGCTATTCTGCACTGCTTCCTAGTGAAATCTTAAATCTTCAAAAATAGCTTTTAGGGTCTCTCACAACTCTGCATGGTTGGACAAGATGGAGGCATACAGTATCTAGGCTCGAGTTTCTCTGGTGACTCCTGGCTGAGCTATTTGGGAAGCAGCAGAGGCACTTTAAAGTTACTACCTATAGCATACAAAGACTGTGTTGACCTATGTCAGCACACAGGTTAGCTTAATATGTTTTTTTTTTTTTCAGTAAAGTTCAATATATATAGCAAAAAAGTGTTTTGTTAGCATGCATAAGTAGAATTTACCTAGTATAGCAGGCAATTGTTGGATAAATCAGGTATCTAGGAACCCCTCATTGAGTAAGAGTACTTTAAGATTTAATTTAAACCTGGAGAGCTGTAATTTTTTGTCCAAAGTTGCTGATTTTTGTTGTTGCTACTTTATATTTGGCAGTTGTTTTATGTCTATTTTTATGCAACTAATTATGTTTACATTTATTATAGACAGATGCATACAATAGAGCAGTTTGATTGTTAGCAATAAGTTGCACCAAAATGCATATACCTAAATAACTTGCACTTTCTTAATAAATGTATATCTAAACTGGAAACATATGATACATAACTTCTGTATATATATAAATAATTGGATCTAAAATAATCTGCTTGTGCCCCAAGCTGCAGTTTGCCAGCATAGAAAAACAGTGAAAAGTCACATGTCTCAGATGCAGTTACTTCTCTTCCAAATAAAAACAATGGTGTTTTCATGCCTGGACTTATTATTATTCCGAGAATGTACTAATTTGTTACATCCAAGATGATGGTTGGTTTGGTCCATGAAAAGGGCAATGTGCCAACTGCTGCAGTTAAGTAAAAGGACTTCTTTCATTCAGAGTGGTGGGACAGAAATTAGCCTGCAGTGCATGTAGGTGGGGGGAGGCAGGTTGCCAGGGGAAGTCATCCTAAAATCAGGCTTTGCTGAGCTTGATTCTGAATGAAGCTCAAACTAACGATTTCACTAGATGTCAGCATGGGCAGGGCATTTTGAATCGCTAGTGGTCTGAAGAACAACTGATGAGTGTTTTATCCCTGCAGGCTATGGATGCTGTTTCACAAGCCCTTTGCATGTATTTAATATGCTGCCGTTGGTAGAATTAAGCTTAGATAATTGTCTACTTACATGAAGCCCTGTCATATTGGAACCTGAGTGAAGAGACATGCTTTGCAAAGTGGAACTATGAAATAGGTTTATCTTTATTACTATGTGTAGTTTTTGTTCCACCCATCTGAATTTGAATACAAATCAAGAGTATTATTCGGTATCTTAAGACTGCTGAAACCAGGGTGGTCTGGTAATTTTGTTTTACATGCATGACATTGCTTGAGGTCATTAGTTGTAAAGCTTACTACAAAAAGATTGCAAATATATGCAGCCTATTTGTACTTTCCGAATACATATTTTAAGAGCTGTTAGGTGGGGCTCAGACCTACATGGCAGATTGCTGGCCACTCAAAAGATGCTTCGCTATGGGACATTTACACATATATTGAAGATCCATGTATTGCTTTATGGAATACATTATTGTGGACTTAAAACAGTTAATCCTTTTTTATTTATGGTATCTGCCTTATAAATCTGGTTTGAAAAGTTTGTTCAAGTGACCTCTCTACTTTGAATATGGATTATGCGCTTTAATACGCTTTATTTATCTTTTAAGTGGATTTTAATTAAATCCTCTTCTGAAAACGACCCTTTCATTACAAAAAAAAAACTAGGAAAAAGGGATAAAATATGAAAGGAATCATCCTTGAAAATAAGAAATTCAATGACTTAAAAGACTACAACCTTGCCATTTTAGTAAAATAAAAGTAAACCATTTTATCAGAAAAAAATGTCAAAAACAATGTTTTGTGTGCTTATTTAAAATGTAAGGAAACATTACACACATTCTATTGTAATGCAGTCAGCATAGTAGTAAATGACAAGATTACAAGTACTGAAGTTAATGTATACATGCTTATAGTGTTAGAACAATTGTATTTAGATATATGCTGATGTATATAGCTTAGATAAACTCAGACAATTAAAGATTTATTTTTAGAATGTATTCTTACTAAGTAAATAAATATGCATGCATTAAAAAGTGGTTAATTTGAACTGTGGTGTGGAAAAGTACATTGTGTTGCTTTCTTTTCAGTTCATAACAGAGGAACAAACATTTCTTTAATAAGACTACTGAACACTCATTTTGTTGCAAAAAGCTTAGATAAGGATCAGGCCCCTGTGAATCACAGCACTGACCTTTCACCTCAAAAGTTCTGAAGCGCTTTGGCACAAGAAGAGTTAGGCATTATTATGCATTGGACTTTCCATTTCTAAAGAGTCTCTGTGCTTGCTCCTTGATAGACTTTGCTTGCTGGAAATGAGAACTGTACTTTGGCAGTACTAGACAAGCACTGGATTTGCTCTGCCAAGTCATTATGACATAATCCTTCATTAATCCTTATTCTGTGCGAGCCCCTTCAGAGTCACAGAATCCGCTGGTCTGCTTAGGAAGACACTCTTAACTGAAGACAATAATGTTTACTTTGCTATGACTGCACACATGTTATAAAGCACTGGAAATGCTTTTTTTGTTTGTTTGTTTGTTGACATGCTGTTATTAGTGACCAAAAAAGTTGTCTAGCAATAATTTAAAGGGAATGTATAGTGTTACTCCGTATATTTTATTTATATATTATTTTTAGCAGTAAAAACCAATGTTATATTTCTATTAGGAAAGTATGAAATATTGAATATAAATACGTCATATTTACCCCTTGCAACCAGGTGTCAAATGTGAGTCAGTTATTTTGATGTTTTAGATCTATTACTGACATACTGTGAATACAGACTTTAAACAAAAGGTCTAGGACTGCATATACTGTATAACTGATTGATCTTTTTTATGGTGTAGGAAAACTGGACCTAATGGCAATATGTGATGGGTTGCTGCTCACCAGCAACTGTGGTGTCCTTCTGAACTCTTGGGAGAATTTATAAAATGTTGAAAGGATTGGAGCACTACACTAGTTGTACTGTCTTTTGAAACATTTTATTATGCAACAGAGAACATGTTTCAGGGCTCCATTCTTCAGGGCTGAAAACAGTTCATGCAGGTACCTGAATTAAAGAAGCTTCTTCAATTCAGGTTTCTGCATGAACTGTTTTTAGCCCTTTTAGAAACTGGTAGTGGGGGGTAGGGTGTTGAGCTCCTGAAATACGTTGGCTGAAAGATAAAACTGAATGAGTCAGAGTAGGTATCCATCTATCTACTTCCTCCCAGGGGTGGACTGACAACTCATGGGGCCCCCGGGCAATAGGGGATCATGGGGCCCCTGTGTCCTTGCCCAAACTCAAATAAGCCTATGAAAAAGGTACCAGGGGCATCTCATGGGGCCCCCTACTGACCCTGGGCCCTCGGGCAGTGCCCGAGTTTCCAAATGGTCAGTCCGCCCCTGCTTCCTCCAATAGTAAAGACAGAACCATCTTACATCTACAGTCTGTAGAATTTATCTACGATGTGCATCCAGTGCTGGGCTTTGCTGTTAGACATCACAGTATACACTGCACACATTAAAGATTTAAAGCACTCTGTAATGACTATTTGCAAAATGAGGATTTCATACACATAATACAGACGATAATATTATAAACTTAGAAATCTGCAAAAACCAAAAGCAACTAGAATTAGAAGATCTGACTGCATCTAAGCTGCCTACTCATTCTTTACACTGTGGTTAGCCAGGTCCAAGGCCCAGGAGACCACTCTATGTACACACTCGGATTCAAGCTATGGGGCAGATCTGTGGTGGAAGCATGCAGTGTATGCTGTCCATCATTAAAGTTGTCAGATTCTTGTGCCTTGGTGTGTGTCCCGTTTTTTGAAACCAAAAGTCACTATAGTTTATCTCTACAGCTGAACTTCAGTTAAAATGCTAATGCACAGATAAAGTACATATAAGAGAGCTGTTTTATCTGCCAAAGGATCTGTATATCCACCCTGTCACACAGCACAGTCCTCTCTGGCAAGACAGGATATCAGATTTTCCTTTACTGCATTTTAAAAAGAAGTTCAGGAATTAAAAAAAAAAATAAACAATTTGCCTGATGCTGCATCTGTCCCCTGCCACTTCTAAGACCAAGAACTAAGTGAACTAAAAGTTGATTGCTTGGTTTCCAGTCTTCAGTGAGCAGAGAGCCGGTGAATATCAGCCTCCAGCTTTCTGCTCTGCCCCTTCAGTGCTCACTGGAGCACCAGGCTGTGGAAGAGGTGGGAGCAACTTGCTCAGGCTTTCAGCAGTGTGCTGAGAGGCTGAGCCTGCTGCTGTTTAGGCATCTAGGTAGATCCCAACTTTAACCACTTGCCTACTGGGCACTTATACCCCCTTCCTGCCTAGGCCAATTTTCAGCTTTCAGCGCTGTCGTGTTTTGAATGAATGACAAATGCGCTGTCATGCAACTCTGTACCCATATGACATTTATATCATTTTTTTCACACAAATAGAGCTTTCTTTTGGTGGTATTTAATCACCACTGGGTGTTTTTTGTGCTATAAACAAAAAAAGAGCAATTACATTTTTTTTTTAATTTTCTTTGTTTCTATTATAAAATTTTTCAAACAGGTAATTTTTCTCCTTCACTGATTTGCATTGATGAGACTGCACTGATATCAGCACTGATGGGCACTGATAGTCAGCACTTAGGGGCACCAATGAGGTGAAAAGGATAAGCGGCACTGATTGGAGGCACTGATAGGTGGCATTGATAGGCAGCACTGATGAGCTGGCACTGATGATGCTGCATTGATAGGTGGCACTGCTGGGCAGCACTGATGGTGGCACTGCTGGGCAACATGGATGGATGGCACTGCTGAGCACAGGTGGGTGGCAATGCTGGGTGGCACTGCAGGGCACAGGTGGGTGGCACTGCTTGGGTACAGGTTGGCAGCACTGCTGGGCACAGGTGGGTGGCACAGGTGGGCGCACATCATCAGGGCACTGATCATCAGTGCTGATCACTTCTCTGACAATTGCCAGTTATCGGCAGTACTTTCCTCACACTGTGAAAGTGTGAGGAAAATGCAGCCAATAACCGGCAATTGTATTTACCCGTTGATCTGCTGTATCATTGGACACAGCTGGTCAAGTGGTAAAAGTCCACCATGATTGGTCGTTTACCGTATCCCGTGATCAGCTGTGTCCATAGGACACAGCGATCACCGGCGGCACCGGGTGTGTGCCGCTGGGGGCACTCAGGGGACGTGTTCCGGAATGCCATCCAGCTCAGTGATGTCAGCCAACAGTGGGCTTTAACCCACTGTCAGCTGAAAACATGTCACTTGAGCGTAAAACAAGGTGCACTCCTTTGATCCCCAGGAGAAGTAGGGCCAAAAGAGCTCTACCGTACAGAAGATTGCAAGAGGTTGAATTCAAGTCAAAGACAGGTGCACTGGTTGCATTTATAAAAATACATTTAATGATGTATTGATGAAATCAGAGCTGTGTTAGTTTGTGTCTTTTATATCTACCTGCAGTTCAGTTTTAATAATTCTAAATATTAAGATTTAGGTTATTGACTATTAAAGCTGTATAACATTTAAACTGGTTTTGTCCTAAAGCCATTTTAATTTGTATCTGTGGCCAAAATGGAAACTAATACATTAAAGTATAACTAAAGGCTGCCCCATACCGGGTCTCTTTGCTCATCAGCAGAAGCTGGCGTCCTATTTGTTTCTGTCGGCCACCAGAACAATTGCTCAGGCCTGGAAGAGTCCGTTTGTCCCTTTTCAGGGGTGCGGGATCGTATGACCAATATGATGCTTAATGAGCAGATGTCGAGCATATGCAACGACTCCCAATGTAAATTCTCGAAAATATGGGAACCATGGTTGCAATATGCCTTTCCCACGCTTCCTTTGGCTAGTATGGGGATGTACTGGCGTTAGGCACTGGCGTTTGATGGTGGCGCTCCTGGATCTCTGCCTCCTCTTCTTTTTTTTTTTCTTTTTCTCTCCTCTTATTTCTCTTCTCTTTCTTTCTCTCCATTTCTGTTAGTTTTTTTGGGTGATAGTTGACAGTTGCCTTTAATTGCAGTTAGAATTTCATTACCGTCATTGTAACCTATGTGCCATTGATGGCCCCTGCGTGGGCGTACCTTTTGCCTTGTTGAAGTTAGAGCACTGTTTTTCTTTTATTATTATGTTTTTTATCTTATCGGTGCAATTGATAGCCCCTGTGGGGGCATGTTTTGTCGCCTCTGTTTTATACTGCTTAAAACTAATAAAAACTATTGAAATACAAAGTATAACTAAAGGCAAAACGTTTTTTGAGGAAGCCTTCCAATGGGGTTCTGGCAACCTGGGGGGCCCCAAAAGATTCCCTTAAACACTTCAGTCTTCGCGTTGTACTTGTACATTGCAAGGTTGATGTGGTTATACCAGGATGAGGCCTGCAGCTACCTTTCACTGCCTTTCTGGCCTCTACCATCCCACTGGGGAGGCTGGGACAGCTGACCATAGAGATCACTATGGTCCAGTATTTTGTCACTTGCAGTTTTGCTCAGATGTAAACAAGCCATTACTGGCTTGTGAAAGCATCTAATCAAACCGATCTTGATTTGATCAAGTGATTTTTAAGGGCAAAGGAGAGATATGGGATCTAATAGACTTGAGATCTCTCCATAAAGAGGACCTGTCACTGCTCCAGCTATCACAAGGGGTGTTGTTCATAATGACCAATGAATTATCAATAAAATAAAGTTGCAGTGTAAAATAAAGTCAAACAAATAATAAAAATTTTCCAAAAATATGTTAAAGCATCCCATCCACGTCCCCCTACAAATGTCAGAGTGAGAGCAATAATTCTAGCAACAGACCTCCTGTTTAACTTTAAACTGGTAACCTGTAAAAGCTTTTTAAGTGTTCTCTATGTAGATTTTTTAAGTACCATAGTTTGTAGCCATTTCACGAGCCTGCATAATTTTAAAGTGTGACATTATCTATATACTCAGCATATCATCACGTTTTATATATTTACCAAACGCTGTGCAAATAACATATGACATTCAAAATTGCAATATCCACCATTTTATTCCCTAGGGCCTTTGTTTAAAAAATATATTATGTTTGAGGGTTCTAAGTAATTTTCTAGCAAAAACAAAATGCTGATTTTTACATGTAAGAGAGAAGTGTCAGAATAGGCTTGGGGGTGAAGTAGTTAACTTGTTGCCGACCGCAGATAGCCGAATGACGGCTGCACTGCGGCCGGCCAGTTCTGAGTGGACGTCATATGACGTCCCCCCAGAACGCGCTCTCCTGCGTGCCCCAGGGGGCGCGCACCCGGCGATCTCCGTGATCGCTGTGTCCTACGGACACAGCTGATCACGTGATGTGGTAAAAGGCCAATCACAGCGGCCTTTTACCACCTGATCAGCGGTGTCCAAAGACACGCTGATCAGAGGGAAATGCAAGTGCCGGTTCTCGGCTGCACTTTCCTCACGCTGTCAGATCGTGAGGAAAGTACTGCCGAGAACCGGCAGTTGTCAGAGCGGGGATCGGCACCGATCATCAGGGCACTGATGATCAGTGCCCTGATGATCGGTGCCCAGCAGTGCCACCCGCAAGTTCCGCCCACCTGTGCCCAGCAGTGCGCCCACTAGCTCCGCCCACCTGTGCCCAGCAGTGCGCCCACCTGTGCCCAGCAGTGCACCCACCTGTGCCCAGCAGTGCACCCACCTGTGCCACTCTGCAATGTCACACACACCTGTGCCCAGAAGTGCCACCTACCTGTGCCCAGCAGTGCCACCCACTTGTGCCCACCCACCTGTGCCCACCAGTGCCACCCACCTGTGCCCACCAGTGCCACCCACCTGTGCCCACCCACCAGTGCTGCCCACCAGTGCCACCCACCAGTGCAGCCCAGCAGTGCTGCCAGTCAGTGCCGCCAGTCAGTGCCCAGCGGTTGTGCCAGTCAGTGCCGCCAGTCAGTGCCCAGCAGTGATGTCAGTCAGTGCCCAGCAGTGATGTCAGTCAGTGCCGTCTATCAGTACCCATCATCAGTGTCACCTATCAGTGCCGCCTATCAGTGCTGCATATTAGTGCCGCCTATCCGTGACACCTCATTAGTGCTGTCTATCAGTGCCGCCTATCCGTGCCACCTCATTAGTACTGCCTATCAGTGCCCTTTAGTGCTGCCTATCAGTGCCCATCAGTGCTGCCTCATCAACGCACATCAGTGAAGGAGAAAAGTTACCTGTTTGAAAAATTTTATAATAGAAACAAAGAAACTTATTTTTTTTTTTCAAATTTTTGGCAAATTTTTATTTATAGCGCAAAAAGTAAAGTGCCCAGTGGCAATTAAATACCACCAAAAGAAAGCTCTATTTGTGAGAAAAAAATGATCAAAATTTCATATGGGTACAATGTTGCATGACTGCGCAATTGTCAATCAAAGTTCGGCAGCGCTGAAAGCTGAAAATTGGCCTGGTAAATAAGGGGGTATAAGTGCCTGGTAGGCAAGTGGTTAATATGGATTTCCTCTCACTCCCTGTTTTGGCTATGGGGCAGAAAGTGAAGGTAAATCTCCCCAGTGGGACACAGATGGCAAAAACTGACCGGGGTTATAACCCTGCCTTACTCTGTCCAAAATGAAAAAAAATGTATTGCTTATAGTTCTACTTTAATTTTCACATTGTATTTAAATTCTTTCTAGCCTACTCCTATTAATATGAATAATTTTGATGTTTGTAAACTTATTTTATGAAGATCCCCACACATTTACTTCCTTAACCCTTGGTTTACATCGGTGTGACTTGTCATGTGATTTGACAGTTTCAAATTACATGACAAGCTGCACCCTATTGTCCGCAATGTAACCGTTTAAATCGGTGCGACTCCGACTTTGTGGTGCCACACCGATTTTAAAAAAAGGTTGCTGCACTATTTTTGTCAATTTCAGGTGTGACTTGCATAGACATCTGTGCATGAATTTGCACAGATGTTGGTCAAGTCACACCTGTTGTTGCACAGACATGCGGCTTTGAAATCGTGCGACTTCACGTGAAGTCGTACGATTTCAAAGCGAGATTCAGTGTGAACTGACTGTGAATTCTGTGACACGTATTCACTATGCCTGTTAATATGCACAGCTGTGTCACACATTTCACAGAGCCTGCTTTCTGAACTACAGATGTGCTGAGAGGAGGAGTTTTAGTAGGCAGAGTCAGTACAGGAATTACTGCTTGCAGGTAACAATGTACCATGGGATATGTAGTCCTTAGCAAATAAAATTATATGGCAGAGGAGAAGTTGCAAATCATGCAGGTAATCAAAGAATTTGTAGAAAGACATGGCCAACAGACAGGCAGTACCCATAACGTGAAAGGAGATTTTTCAAGTACGTTTGTTTTGGATTGACAAATATAACTATTGTTTGTTTTGTTATTACAATGCTGATGTTATTAAAGTGTATGCTTTCACCACAGATTTCCTTTAAGTGTCCGAGGAGTATTAAAAAATTCAGCTCAGCCAGCAATGCTCCTACACTTGGAATGCTTTCATTGTTGGCAGTCAATTTAGGTAATGATTACTAATTAACACAGCACATCAACGTGTTTTGCCCCTCCTGCAGGGTGTCCTCATAGGGTCTATGAGGATGCCCTGTAGGAGTGAAACGCGTAGATGCAATTTCCAGTTTCTGGCTGTTTGGTGTGACGTCACGTCCAGTGAGTGGAGCGCACGCAAACCAGCGGCACTCCGGAGCCATCTTTATGCTGCTCTAACTTTTTACATTACAACCATGGGTCTGGTACTCCACTGAATTCTGGAAATATATGTGAGCACATCCCACCAGAAATAAGCGTTTTTGACCCTTTAGCCCACAATGCTAGGAGTCCACCATATCTGGTGAGTATGGAGTGCACAGGGGAGGGATCACTGAGCACTATGCGGTTGAAATTTGTTTCAAGGCACGGGATATTCATTTTGTATTTTTCTTCAGAGCATGTGACACTGTATTGGAGCACATGAGCATGAAGCACTAGATATAAGGACTTTATTTTGTAATGTGCTGTGTTTAATGGTATTTATTGTTTATTAGTGTAATTCACTTTTGAGCAGCAGCATTCTTTAACACATTTTATTTGTTTAGTTGGCACAATTATTTTGGTCACAAATTGTTTGGTATAAAGTAGCGCGGGTTATTTGTTGTTTAGTCATTATAGGTGTTTGCATACCTATTGTACATGCACATCAGTCCCCGCCCTCAAGGAGCCTAAGATCTAAGGTCCCTAAAATTCATTCATACTAGGGCCTATTTAGACAAGATCCAAATAACTTACCAGCATGTCTTTGGAGTACCTGGAGGAAACCCACGCAGGCACAGGGATAACATGCAAACTCCAGGCAGGTAGTGCTGTTGTTGGAATTCAAATGTAGAGCTTGTTTTTTTTTGTGTAAGTGCTTGCCGAGAAACGTCTGCACAGTATACCCTTTTTAAGCCCATGGAGGCTACACATTTCTTATCAGTTCATGTTCAAGCTTCAAATCCTCAGTGCCATCATGTTTAGAACCTAGGGTGCAATTATGACAAGATTCTTGAGGTCATGAAGCTCATGTACTTCTGATACTTCATCTTATTTACTTGTTATGTGCCTACATTTTCCTGAACAAAATTAAAATAGCATTGTGCTTTGTCTCATATCCCTGTTTACATATTGAATTGCATTTTTTTAAATTGTAATTTTTTTTTAATGACTCCCACAGTAATACAAACTGGTTACTCCCATAGGCAATTTACTTGCTTTTTATCTTCAGTAAGATACGTCCTTCAACCACCGGTAAATGCACTCCATTTGACAAAACCTGGAATACTCCAGCCACATCATTTTACACTATTATACTTGCTGAGAGGGGACCCTGATGTCTCAAGCTGGAAATTCATCTTGGAAGATCTTTTTCAGATGAGAAATAAAAGACATTTGCACTCATCTACAAAATGTCTATGGCATTTTTTTCCAAAGAAAATAGCTTTAAAGGAGAAGTACAGCCAAAGCTCTTTTGGCTGTACTTCTGTGGGTCACAGGAGTGCAGTTCGTTCTGCACTCCTGTGACCCATTTTCAGCTGACAGCGGCCTGAAGTCTGCTGTTGGCTGATGTCACTCAGCTGGTCCAGGCTGGGAAAAGATCCAGAGTTTAAAGTCGGGATCCACCCCAAAGTCTGGAGCACTACCTGGCTCAGCCTCTCAGCAAGTCGCTGAAAGTCTGAGCCAGCCACTCCCTTCCCCTCCACAGCCCAGCACTCTAGTGAGCACAGGTGGGGGGGGGGGGGGAGGTCAGAGTAGACAGCAGACCAATGCTGCATCTACCTAGGTAAGTATCATTTTTAAATAAAAACCATTCCCATACTTCTCTTTTAAAGCTGAACTCTAGACATCTAAAAAAGATGCAAATGAATACAGCTCTATAATTATTGGCACATTGTTAAATGTATTTTTATTAAATGCAATCAGTTTAAATACAGTTGTGGCCAAAATTATTCAACCCCCAATGCTGTAAAGGGGTTTAGGGACTATGTACATTTGGAATTGTATTCAGAATCAAATCCTACAAGGACGTTGTAACTACCCAAATGCAACTAAAATGACATCAATTGTTTATGTAATACAGTAGTAAATGGTTCTTATGTGGTTTCTTCATTGCCACAATTATTCAACCCCTTAAAGACTACCACTCTGAAGAACAGAGGTTCATACAGGTGCTTTCCATCAGGTATTGAAAACACCTGTGGATGTCACCGAGCAGCAATCAAGCATAATAAGCACCAATTAGGCAGCTTTAAAATGACTGTGATACTCAGCTCCTTCTAGACATTTACTGGTGTGGTTACAAACATGGTGAAGGCAAGAGAATGGTCCAGGAAGACAAGAGAAGAGGTGATTTCTCTTCACAGGAAGGGCAATGGCTATAAGAAGATTGCAAAGATGTTAAACATACCAAGAGACACCTTAGGAAGCATCATTCGCAAATTCAAGGCAAAGGGCACTGTTGAAACGCTACCTGGTCGTGGCAGAAAGAAGATGCTGACTTCGACTGCTGTGCGCTACCTGAAGCGTAGAGTGGAGAGAAGTCCCCGTGTGACTGCTGAGGAACTGAGAAAAGATTTGTCAGATGTGGGTACAGAAGTTTCAGCCCAGACAATAAGACGCACACTGCGTAATGAAGGCCTCCGTGCCAGAACTCCCAGGCGTACCCCCTTGCTGTCTCCAAAGAATAAGAAGAGTCGACTGCAGTATGCCAAAAGCCATGTGGACAAACCACAAAAGTTGTGGGATAGTGTTCTGTGGACTGATGAAACAAAATTAGAACTGTTTGGGCCCATGGATCAACGCTATGTTTGGAGGAGGAAGAACAAGGCCTATGATGAAAAGAACACCTTGCCTACTGTGAAGCATGGTGGAGGGTCAATCATGCTTTGGGGCTGTTTTGCTTCTGCAGGTACAGGGAAGCTTCAGCGTGTGCAAGGTACCATGAATTCTCTTCAGTA